CAGCAGTGGTTTAGGTTCTATTGCTGATCAGTCATTTAAACAATAATCAACAGATTAACATCAGTTATCGCAGCCATAATTCTAATAAAGACCAGAAGCAAGAGTGATATTCACACATATATACATATTGAAATATTGGAGCAGCCAACTTTTGCCGCCAGAAATGCTCTCCTGGTTATTCATCCCCAAGTGGCGAGCAGAGGATGCGCCGCGGCTTCCGTCCCGGTGGACCGCGTGGTGAACAGACTCACACTGAGCAGCAGACACAGGTTAGCTGCACTGGCTAGCCGACAAGCAGCACAAAGTTCACTTAGTTATCTGTGCAGATAAGCAGCTGGGGTGTTTTTGCTGCATGCCTCTCCGACACTTGACAGCCTGCTGCCTGCTTATTTGTGCACTGACATCGATGGGATTTACACTTTGGCTATCAAAATGTGGTACCGAATGACAAGTTCGGTAACCAGCCGTACTCTGAACATAAACACAGATTAAATTAGTCCATCGCCATTTTCAATAAAGTGTATTCAAACTGCATCCGTAACAAAAGCTGAGTCACTTTGTGCTGCTCTGTTGGTGTATTTTTTGTCACAGCATAGTAAAGATTACAGCTATAGCCACAGCATGCTAAAAAGCACTCCAATAATATTAAAACAAGCTCAGTGCAGTTTCTATCAGATCTTTTGACAGCAGCCATGAGGGAAATCAGACCCTGGAACTGCTCAACTTGACCAAAACTTTGGACTTGCCACAAATCCAACCAGATTGTTGACTGTTGAAACTGCACACCAAACCACAAGAGTTCAGGCAGAAATTTGTCCCCATTCTAAAATGACTCAGGGGCAACCAAATCTAGGCAAAAATCAGGCTAAATACATATAATGTGTGTGCAATTTAAGAGTTTATGTAGCGCAAGGCACGGTGTTCCTGCAACTCTTGAACAGCAACCAACATTATGTGAAACAAAGAGAGTAAAGCCGTGAGTCTCTGTGTGTGTGTGATTGTCATTGTGAGCAGAAGCAGAGCTGCCTCTTATCTTGTGTTTAACAGTACACACCAAAATACACACACACATACACACACACACACTCACACTCTTACATTCTTAAAAAGGGCTGTACCACCCTGTACCAGACAAAGAGAGAAAAAGCCAAAATGAGGGAGGGGATACAGACATAAGCTGGGTTTCTATTTAAATATTTGAAGTCATTTAAAATGTACTGAATAGGAAAAGATTATTAGATATGACAGAATTCAAAAACCTTTCATCAACGTCCTTAAAAAAAGGTTATCATACTTGAGTAAAGTAATGGTGCAATAAACAGTGATGGAAACATATTTGTAGAATTATCAATCTGTCCACCACACCCTTCAGAAATATCAGGGGGATATCGAATTTGGCTGTATCGCCATTAGTCGGCAGGTTTCAAATAAAACTAAATAATCTATACTTTTAATGTTTTGAATGGTGGAACGGTCTCAGAAACAGCGTTTAGTTTGTCAATATTTAAACTGTACTGAAAACCAGGCTAAGCAGCTCCTTAAAATTGTGTGACTATTGTTTCTGCTGGCTGAGGCTGACTGACTGACTGACTGACTGGCTGACTGACTGACTGAAACTGCTTAGCAAATGTTCAAACAGCGCACTAGAATTAAAGCACTCTATAGCCAGGGCCAGGAAGGAAGGAACCTTCACCGTACCCGAGGTGGACGACACTGACCAGGTGATAATATCAGCCTAAGTCTAATCCTGATTCGGGGACACTTTTGGATTTGGCAGCAGCCTAACTTTGAGTCCCAATCAGGCCAGAGATCCAGAGTGAGCCAGAGAGCATTCCAGAGAACAGAGGACTTCTGTATTTTGCTGGCCTGTGGCCCAATGTGCCTGTCCTCACCTCTCTGCTTCACTAGCTCACTGTGTGTGTATGTGCGTGCCCGGAAAAGTCAGCTTTGACCCTGTCACCATAGCGATGTGACCTTATACCTGGCAGTAGAGTCTATCTAAAGGTCAGTTCGGTTTGAGAGTGCCAGGGTGTTCACATACTGTCCTATTCACTAAACTATACAGCTGTAGGCGATAAAGCGCATGCACCTGCAGCTCAGGCTGCCAGCCTGTCAGGGAAGCTACCTTCACTCAGCTAGCTACATATTCCTGCCATATATCAAGGCTCTTCAGCTGCTCTTTAGCTGCTGGTGAGAGCAACAGGGAATATCACATAGGAACTTATGTTGGGCTCAAGTTCAAACTTGTCAGTGGCATATGAGCCACTAACACTTCTGCCACCATGCAACATCTGAAAAACCCCACCCTTTTATGTCAAACTCTACACAGATACAGTCTTACAAAGGCACCACACACACACACACACACACACACACACACACACCTCTATTTAAAATACAGTCTTAGCTACAGTATAGAGTTTGCACCAACACCTGTAGACATACAGCTCAAACTTGTCCGTAACTGTTTCACCATAGGAAATGTACTGCAGCAGCAGCAGCAGCAGGACAGGTTTGACACGTGACAAGCCCAGGTTTTGTAGGGAGCTTTTTGGTATTAGTCACTTTTCAATATGTACAGTGTAGAAAGTCACATTTTAATGTCGTAAAGAACTGTATGCCACTACCCGGAATTCACTGCAAAATATGTAAACCGACCAATTTTGGTCTGCAAGCAACAAACAAACCGTTTTTTCCGTTTTATGCTGTCATTCAGTGTTTCAGAACTACAACGGATTATAGGCAATCACCTGCAACACAAAAGAAATCTGTAAATACCTCTGGCTAAGTGTATGATTGATCGCCTCAGTGTGTTGGGTATTACGTGCTCTCTTTCACCAGTTGGCACTACAGCTGCAAAGACTAATTTCATGTCAACTACTGAATGAATTGTCAACAATTATTATAACTGATTAATCATTTTTCAGCTACTTAAATGTTAATATTTGTCCTGTATGACAGTAAACTGAATATCTTTCTATGATGAATTGTGAAAAAAAAAGACATTTGAGGACACATTTGGCTTTGGGAAACAGTGATCATCATTTCATTTTCATCAACATTTTATGGACCAAACAACTCAATTCATTGACAAAATGATCAACAGACTAATCAATAATGGAAATAATTAGTAAGTTGTAGCCCTAGTTGGCGCCATATTGCACTTTCACTGTGATGGACAAAGCCATGTTTCCACTGAATCCTATCAGCAGGTAGCAGCTATGCTGACCTAGCATTATGGGATGTGATGGTTTCAGTCCTACATTCTTGTATGAGGCTAGCGATACTGTGATCCTAAAGATAACTCTGTTCTTCTTCAAAGTTACTTCCTCGCCACACAGCAGCTGTGACAGAAAAACTGCCAATGCGGCATAGTGTTATCATCAAATCCCCCGCCACAGCCTCAGGCATACATCATGACAAAGCAAAGACAGAGCCATTCACTGACAGTAGGCCATTTCAGTGTCAGTGCTGTTCAAGACACTGACGATACAGCCATTAGGAAACATGTTTGCCTTTCTCCTCCTCTGTCTGTACATCGCTGTCTGTGTTTATTCAAACGTATCCTCCTTGTTTGCATCCACGCCAAAATCTTGGTATCTGAGAAACACAACGTAGGCTTTTCACCCTGAACCGTGGAGTTACCGCAAAGAAAACATTCACCAGCTGTGTGATACTGTAACATTTGGCTGTACATTGACAGTCTGCTGACTGACAGTAACCAGGGTTGCTGCAGGTTTCAAGAGGGTACATTTTAGGGATGAACAATAATTATCTGGACAGATAAATTATAGTCCTTCTTCTTATTATTATTATAAATAATTGGGATAATTAAATTATGGCTGATAATCCATATTGTGCATCCCTATTAAATGTAATAAGACCATTATGAATGCAATTTAATACCTATTTTACATTCATACTGGAACTGATTGATACAACTTTTTCATGAAAACATACTAAAAAAAAAATAGACTGAAAAAACAAGTAATGTTAATGTCATTAATCCAATCAATTTTTAGGACTTGTCAAAAGTCTTTTAAGGATCCCTGACAACCCTGACTAATGTGGGGATTTTAAACCAGATGGAAACACAGGAAAAGGAGGAAAGAGCCATTAATACTGCTTTCATTAGTACTGGTACACATAGATACTGACACAGGCCAATACATGCCTTTCTCTATCTCTAACAGATAAGATGGAAAGTCTCTCCGTTTGAAAACTATGGCTGTTACAGATTTGTTCTTAAACTGCATACTGAAGGCACACAGCAGGTAGGCAATAGGTTCTTCATTTCTCAAAGCTACTCATTGCAGTTTCTATCTATATTGAAGCAGAAGTTTCGATTGATAGATAGCGTTAACTTCTTATTACAGCGGGCTTTTGGCTGTTCTGATAACCACAGAACACCTTCAATCTTTAACTTTTGAGTGGAGTTCAGCTTCTGGTAGCCTTGACACTGACTGAAAACTAGCACCATACCGGATAGCAGTGTAAACTTCAGCAGGAAGACAGTAAGTCATTAATAAAATACTGTAACATTAATCAACACTATGGGATAAAACCCACTAATGGTGACAAAACACCAAAACACGAATTAAACTAGGTCCTCGGTTGTAACTTTAAACAGTTACAATCACATAAAGTCAGTATGTAACGTTAATTGTACACAAGAGTTTCTTTCGGTATTTGACAGGGCGGAGTGTCAGCTAGCGTTCAGTGAGTATCGTTAGCTATGTTTTGGTTAGCCAGCTCCACTATGAGAGTAACCCATATGCAGCTGAGCTACAAGCTAATTAGCTTCATACTCAGTAGAAACAAAGGGCCTTCAGTTGGTATAAACTTCGGCCTCAGTTTAGTGAGTAACCACCCTCACAAAGTTACTTTATTCAGCAACTATGGGTTCATTTTACTTATCAAGCTAATGTTAGCAGCTAACTAGCTCGCTCCTTCCTGCAGCACCTGTTGATAACAAAGACCGACAGCACTGGAATACTCACTGTGTTTGTCCACGTACTCCTTCAGCTGCTAAATCCACCTGGGAACTGTTACTCTGAATCCAAACAGTCCTACTTCGGCCTTTATTCTTCTAATTCACAGTTTCCCTCTAACAGACTTGTTGCCCGTTTCTCGGAC